TATAGGAGGCAAAAGTCAAAGGCCCATTTGCTACAACTCGAATCCGTAAATAACACAAATTTCAACGTCAGCGAGATAACGTTCACAACTCTCCAACCGGAGATACAACCGGAAAAATTGTTCAACCAGCACGAAACACACTCGAATGCACCAAACGCGCACAAACTCGCCTCGAAAACGAGAGGCGCAAGCAAGAAAATCTTAAGAATTCATTCGACTCGTTCGATTCAACCGCGATCGTATCCGTTGAATCGATATAAGGTGAATCGACGTCGAAGGCAGCTTCAGCATTCGGCCGCGAGAACAAAATCGTACGATATTAACGAGAATTACGTGGAAAATCAACAATTCGAAACAATACAAGGACCCGCGGCAGCTTTCGAGGATGGATCGATTCGAATCGAGCCTATATACCGAGTGAGCAAGAGCAAAAACATCTTCGACTCGATCGTTGACGTGATTCATAAAATAATCAATCCATCGAAAGCGTTGGGCCCCTTCGTTGGACCGTTCCATTTCCCAGGCGTGGGCGACAAAGTGTACATTCGACTTTTAGAGCCGCTTAACTCGAAGCATCTGGTGATACGATTGATATCGCATTCGCCGATCACAGAAATTCAGTCGACGTTCGAGAAAAACATTCTTCCGGCCAGCGAGTTGATAGAACATCCCGAAATTTCCTCGATCGATCACGAGCCTCTTTCTCTGCCCAACAATGAACTGTTGAAATCGTACGGCCAGCACAGCGACGCGGTTCACTCGTCGGACAGTTTGCTGTCATCCAGTAACAATGTGGATCAAGTTTTGAAAGTGACGAATAATTTTGGCCAGAAAGCAAAGGTTAATTCCGCAGGAAAGCACAATTTGAGGACGTATAAGCTGAGTTTTAAACATGGTAACGTGAACGGTATCCAAAAGATCAGACATCATAAGAGGAATCCGTCTTCGATAACAAAAAGCAATATCAATCATATTTCTCGTACGAAGCAGGCCGGTGAAATAAATAAAACGAAAGATAATCTTCGATCGAGCAATTATCAAGAATCGGCGAATGATTCCAGCGGCGAAGACGATTCCAAGCTGTTAACCGTCGATTTCCAACAAATTCAGCATCCCATAAATGCTTCGTTATTCGAGCAAATATCTTACAACACACCAATCACTCCGTTCGAATCATTTTCGAGCGATCAAATATTCTCGAATCCTCGAATCCCAACCTCGATCAATCGACAAGTTCAATCGTACAACGATTCCAACGAATCAACTACTCCAAAGTACAGTATCAAATTTGCGAGTAAGAACATGAGATACCTTAACCTAGACGGAAGCGTGGAGCCCGCCATTAAGAAGGACAGCGATGGCGGGAAATTCAAATCAACAGAAATGGATCCCGTCGTCTCGAAAGTGTCTAAACCTGTCGATAGCCATTGGAGAGTGCTTCGAGGCGTAAATCTACGATCGAAAGAGGCAATAGAGTCGAATAAACAGAGTCATGGAGGTTCTCGAGAAAGAAGCGATCGCAACGATGATGCGTTTTTTAGAAGTGTCCCGGAGGTCTAATGATAGCGCGATGAATTATTCACGAGGAAACACAGTCGCGATAAAGGAGCAAGGGTGTTGTTTGGAAAAAAGAAATGGAAAACAAAAGCACGAGATCTGGATTCGACGAACAATGTGGAATCGAGTCGAATATAAATAATTCAGGGGAGCAGCGTGGAATCCATGTCGAGAAATGGATTGCAAAACAGTTTGAAGTCGTTGCAAGTCCATTCAGAATGATGCGTTAAAAATATTTTTTTAAACAAACAGTCTCAGTCTTTAGTATAATCTTTCAGAATTTTTATTTAGATTTATTCTTCTTTGTTATTTTGCTGTATCGCTTGTTGATTTTTATGATTCTTCGATTAATAATACATTTGTTGCACAGTCATTTCTTAAGATTCTTTAATATAATATTAACGTATGAATAGTGAAATCAATAAAAATGTCAATTTAAGTGTATTAAGATAAATAAAAAATTGGCGCCATTTATTGTGAACAATTATAATTATAATAATAATAGATAGACTATAAATATTTTTGTTAAAATAAAATTTTGTCAAAAAATAATTGATTTGATATTGTTTTATTATTTATCCAAAGAAACTGTTGTATATTTTAAATATAAAATATTAATCAGATATTAACCATAAATTATAATTTGCTCAATATAAACTGTTAGAATAACATTTTTGTTGATTGTAGATTTATTTGGAACGTGAAGCTCTTGAAATATTGAACATGATAAATTAACGTGCTCTGATTATTTTAAACAGTGGATCCGTTTAGTTGAAATCTCTCTAGAAGCGTGTAAAATTTATAAAAAGGTTAAACTTCGAGAAAATCAATCTATTCTAGAAATGAATTAATCAGAATGATTCTAAAAAAAAAAAAAAAAAAAAACAACGATCGAAATTTATGCGTGATTATGCGATTAGATTAAAAAATTCATCAATTATTTCTTACAATTCATAAATATTTTATATTATTATTATTTTTTTTTAACATTTCACACTCGATTAATATTCTAATTATCTCATAATTCAATTATTATGCATCACAGTAAAAGTAAACACTTTGTTTTTTTTTTTTTTTTTTTTATCTTTTACTTTCTATTTCACGGACAATTTTCACTATTAATTGACGAGATGTATATGTAAATTGATTAAAACGCGTTTAAAACTTTCTTAATAGTTTTGATAATTCATTTTTTCACGGTCTAACTGTAATACAATTGTATTAAAAGAGTAACTTATGCGCGACCTGTTCATAATAGGATTACACACGATGGAAAGCGAAGCTTTTTTGTTTCATTCGATCTTGGTGGAACGATCAATTGCCACATTCTTCAAAATCACTTTCTTCATAAAATTATTTCATGCAATTCCAACACGCAATATCTCGATTATTTATACAAATATTTTTTTAGATATTATCTCCCTTTAAGAAAGATTAGAAAATTGATTATCGGTGATGTCTGTATCTCGTGACTCGTTTTATACGACGTATCCGAATAGAAAGATAAGATTAATATATTTATATATCAAGAATCGTGAAAAGTATAATTAAACGCTATTCGATTTATGTATTAATCGTTTCACTCGTATACATAATTAATACAATGTGTGATTTATCATTTTTACGAAATTTTTCCACTTTTAAAACGTTTTCCTCTTTTTATTTATGATTTCAATCTCTTTATTTTGTTCAAAGAATCGAAACTATCGAACGCTTTATAAGCATTAATTTTTTCGATAAGAGATAGCCAATTTTGTTGAAAGATTTATATATATATGTATTATAACATTTCACGTGTATAAATGTTAATCTTTTATTGCATATTAAGTAGCAATAATTCTGTAATAATAATAAGAAAATAAGAAAAAATTTTTATTAATATTTTCTCTTATAATATATTGCAATTAAAGATAGTTTTAATTAGTAATAATTTACACAACAGAAGAAACAAATTCAGTCAATTAAGATACTCGATAATGAACTAGTTAGAATTGTTTTTAAATTGAAAATATATTCTCCTGGTTGTTTTCAATCCCGTTAATGATCTTTGTTCATTAAATAAAAATGCGTATGTGCCATGGATCGAACAATTCTGATTCTCGGTTGGATGCATCTCGAGGAAGTATTCCTCCGTTTCCTGAACGCAGTTCTTCGATCGCTTGTGCGCGGTTAGAAACTCTTTTATTATCTCGAAGAGCAATTTCTTGCTTGCAAAATAAATCGATAGTTATTTGTGATTTTGTGAGAACAATTAATATATTTCGTGATATGTGTGTATATTTCATAGTGAAGAAATATAATAATTTTTAAAATACGATATAATTATAGAAAATTATAAAATATATATCAAAATAATTAGAAGAAAAATAAATTATTTATTGATCTTTTATATTTAATTTTCAATTAATTATTATATTTTAATAAAAAAAAATTAAACAATAAGTGAAATCGTTAAATTTTAAAGTATCATCAGAAAAAATATGATTTTAATATTAATAATGGCGATTATCGATAAATTAGAAAACATTTAACTGATTTGAATGTTATTAATGAATATAAATTTCAATAATTAATAAAAAAAAATATTTTTCTAAAAAAAAAGATAGAATTAATCTTGAATGAATTAATCAATTTGCGATCAGTTCGAAAAACTAATCCAAATATAAAATATGAATTATTTTATGTATAATTAATTACAAAATACACTAAAATTTAACAATCAACATTTTGAACGCAAAGATTCATATTTTCATTAAACTAATTATATAAGAATTTTTTTAAATAAAAACATTATTCATAATTATAAAAACGACTAGTTTTATTTTTTGATATATCATTCATGGGCGAAAATAATCGATTTGATTTTGTTATTTTATTTTATAATAATTATTTTAATTTAAACGACAATTAAAGATAAACTAATCGTAAGAAATTACAGGATTTCTAAATTGATATCCATTTTAATAGAAAATTGCATCGATGACAAGTATCATATTAAGTACCAACACCTCGGGCATAATGGCGTGCAAGACGGACTCTCGTCGATCGATTACTCGGTACAGTAGAAATTCTTACGCATGTCTCGCATGATAACAAGCGCAGACACTGTGATGTCGATTGTTTGGTGAAAAGCAGAAAAGTGAAAATAGAAGAAATACGAAAACGCATCTACCAGGATCCCTGCACGTTGGGCGGAGTTTCTCAGAACATTTTATGGAGACGATTCGCCTCGCTAATTTCAGCTGCATGTATATAAACGTTAGATTTGTTGCGATCGTGAGCAGAGATTGTCCGTTTCTCAAAGCTTCCAAACGGTTAAATATCTTTGCTTTGGCAAAGCGTTAAATTTTCTCATTTGTCCAGAATGAAAGGGATATTTTTGGTAAGGGACGAATGAAAGATCACGATTTTTCCCTGATTTCATTCGACAAATTTATTTTTATTCCAAGACATTTATTTTCCTTTTCTCGTACTTTTCAGTATGCTATTGCTTTATTGGCGCTGTTCTCGCTGCTACAACAACCAATCGAATCGTGAGTATCTGAATGTCGTTGTTTTAATCGTTTAACGTATATTAATTTAGTCTTATTTTTATGTAACAGGAAGAAGGTGATTATCCATGTTCCTTATCGAGTGAAGAACGTGAAGCACGTACACACGATTTACAAAATCATTCCTCATTATCGCGAGGACAAGAAGGAAGATTTGGAGGAGGACGATAAATATGAAATTTATTAGAAATAATTTTAATTATAAGTACATAACATAGTACATAATATAAAATTCAACCCAACGAATATAGTTAATAGAATTCAAAAGTATTCAAATATATATAATAGCTGGTAGATCTGAAAAGATGTTTTAGCAATATTTTGTGTATTAACGAGTTTATTAAAACAATAAATGTATCTATTTTCTATAAAATCAATTTAAATTAAAAATTACAAGAATCATCAAACTGCGAAAATTCGTAAATTTCCTTGCAATTAAATATAAAATACAATATAATTATAAACAATTAAACACGTTACGTTAAAATGTTTAATGTATTTTCTCATTTTTTTCCAACAAAGAGGAATAAAAATTTTCAAGAAAACTTTATTTTTATAAAGACATTTCTATAATTATTTTTTTTTTTTACACGTTTACGTTAAGATAAACGAGCAAAGTAAAAAAAAAATATATATATAAAATACAATATGATAATTATAAACAACTAAACAGGTTATGTAAAATGTTTAATATATTTAATCTCATTTTTTTTCCAACAAAGAGAAATAAAAATTTTCAAGAAAACTTTATTTTTATAAAGACATTTCTATAATTATTTTTTTTTTTTACACGTTTACGTTAAGATAAACAAGCAAAGTAAAAAAAAAAAAATATAAAATACAATATGATAATTATAAACAACTAAACAGGTTATGTAAAATGTTTAATATATTTAATCTCATTTTTTTTCCAACAAAGAGAAATAAAAATTTTCAAGAAAACTTTATTTTTATAAAGACATTTCTATAATTATTTTTTTTTTTTTACACGTTTACGTTAAGATAAACAAGCAAAGTAAAAAAAAAAAAATATAAAATACAATATGATAATTATAAACAACTAAACAGGTTATGTAAAATGTTTAATATATTTAATCTCATTTTTTTTCCAACAAAGAGAAATAAAAATTTTCAAGAAAACTTTATTTTTATAAAGACATTTCTATAATTATTTTTTTTTTTTTACACGTTTACGTTAAGATAAACGAGCAAAATAAAAAAAAAGAAATAGAGAAGCGACCGCAACAACGATCACGAGCATCAATAACCGCGTTTATTGAACAATAATCCTCCTTCCGGCGTGGCAATGACCTTACCACCGATCACGTTGACACATTTTTCCAAAGGCGTGCCATTCGAAGCGGATTGGCAGACGGAGCATATCTCGAAACGGCGAAAGTGGTTGATCGTCCGTAAAATTTCCATTATAATCTCGCAATTTCATAGTATCCACCGTGATAGAGGGCGGAATATAAACGAGGAGCGTCCTACGAGATGCCAAACGAAATTGAACCACTGATCCCGACGTTTCATTTTTCTTTCCTCCACGAGAAGCCATGGCGACGAAAAAATGGGTAATTAAAACTAGATCAATTACAAAATTACTCCACAATAATATATATACATAAATAATAAAAGTCTAAACAATTGATAACAATTTTCAATCGATACATTTCTTTTCCAGCAACTCCTCAACTACTTGTTCTTCCTTCTGCTGAACCAAGCGACAATATACGGGGTAACTTCGAAACAGTAAGTTCTCTCCTTTCCAATAATCCATCAACGCTATCTCTTCTTCTTAACTTCGACGATATCATGATATCATTCCCCGCTTTCTCCATTCACGTACTCTCGTTTTCTCGCCGAGCGCTCATTCCCTTTCCCTCGTTTCCAGCCTGCACCTGAAGATCCTCGTGCCGGATGTGATCAACCACCACACTCACACGAGGACGGTGCTCCTCCACGTCCACGTGCCGACACCTAAGAAACCGAGAACGTACAAGAAGCACGAGTACAGCTCGAATTGGAGCTCGTGGAGCCGCGGCCGTTATCACAATCACAGGGACGAGTACGGCGACCACGAGCTCGACCACGAGAATTATCACGACGAGAAATCGGGCAGAAATGGGAAACGGCCGGACGATGATAAACGGCGCAGGCAGAAGTATTTCCCCGTCTACGATTATCACAAAGAGTATCCCTCGTCCTACGATGCGGAGGGCAACGATTTGGAGGAGAAGGATCGGGGTCGCGACAGTTACGCGGTGCACGAAGACGTGAACGACATACCGCCAAATACGGAGACGGTGTCGTATAATTACGAGGAAGGGTATAGGAAGGGGGGAGAGGTGGAGAGTGGGCATATTCGAGCGGATCAGACGCGCAAGTTTCACGAAGATCGTCACGAGGAGCAGGGGGACGCGGAGAACGATGGCTTCAAGGACGAGTTTGAAACGAAGACGGATGCCGGAAGGTATTTGGTCGACGACGTGGAGTACGAGAACACCAGGGATAAACGTCATCATGGTCGAAGGGCGAGAAAGATTCGTAAAAGCGTAGATGAGAATGTGTAAGAATATTCTCTATGAGATTGTAAAATTTCTTTGAGAAGTTTTTTTTTTCCTATTAAGTTGTCAAATGTACAGTTTTGTTTATATGTATATGATTTGATCAATTGATTCTATTGGTTTGAGTGTGATAAATAAATAGAGAGAGAGAGAGAGAGGAAGAGAGAGAAAATAATACAAATAGGAAGTGATCTTTCAGGTACACACGCAATTTAATCAATCTTTCTCACGACATAATTATACATTAGATTCATTCGAACCGCGATATATTATAATAGGGATAACAATATTAAGAAATAATAATAGTAAAACGAGTAATAATATTTACATTAACAAGTTACGAACGATGTGACGAATAATAGAAAGACTAGGACGAGAGGTAAGTGGCAGAATGATAAAAAGTCGATTGGCATTCCATGGAAAACGTCAGTCAAAATAAGAAAAAAAAGAAAAATGAAAACAGATTAAAATATCTATCTAAAACGTTTTCCTTTAAATGTGTGAATATGAAAGTGCGTATGGGTCTTTGAAGCGCGGCAATTTCGATATACTTTCTAATAAAAGCTTCTCGAAAATGGAAGCTTATATATATATATATTCTAATTTTCTTCTTTTTGTTCCATTTTCTAATTTAAAATCTCATAAAAGATATAGCGAAAGTTGGATAACTGTACAATTATACATGCTTGATAATCATCGCCACCATTGGAAGGTTTCTCTTAATCACCAAATATTTTTTTCTTATCCTCGAGAAGATAGAAAGAAAATTTCTCTGATCGTTTCTTATTGATTGAATCTAAAAAGAAAAAAAAAAAAAAA